CCGCCTGGCTCCTTCTCCGCGTCCTCGCGCCAGCGCCGCACGCGTCCGCGGGGGGCTGCCGCGCCGGCGCCTCCTTCTCCGGCTGTGGCACGGCCGCCGGTCCTTCCCGGCGCTCGGTCCCGACGCGGTGCCGCCTCACAGCCCCAGACTCAGAGCCCCACTCCATGGTCACACGCCTCAGCCGCCGACCCAACTGCCCGGCCCACCACACACCCGGCAGCTGCCGTGCCGCCGCAGCGCCTCCTAGTGAGCGGACGGAAACTGTAAAGGGCCAAACTTCTTTTGATTGGCCGGTCACGCAGCGTGGGGTAGCTGGCTGGACGTGGTGGCGTAATGCCGGCTGCAGGGCTTCCCCGTCTGCTGCAGAGCACGGGTTGCCTAGCGAAAACCACCCCTAGGGCTTGATACATGCAGCACCAGGCAGGAGAAAAGTAAAATGCTGTTGCTGCTGCTGCTGCTGCTGCTGCTGCTGCTGCTGCTGCTGCTGCTGCTGCTGCTGCTGCTGCTGCTGCTGCTGCTGCTTTTGAAAAACTGCCAATGGTTCTTAAACTGCATCAGTTGAGGGACGGTATGGCCCGGATTTGGGAAAGAACATTAATTAGAATGGACTTCTGGAAAAGCTCCTAAAATGAAAAACAGGATTTAACAGAAGTTCGGTGCTGGAGTGCTTGTGTAGCATGAGTGAGGCCCTGGGTTCAATTCTAGCACAACTCGGACAAAAAATAAAAGATACAGAATAATGAAAGCTTCATGCTGAATACTACTATGAGCCTATCATGCTCAGTGCATTAATGACTTTCTCGTTTAACTCGCCTAATAAACCTTAGGGAAGTATTTTATTTGGAACTCTAATTTCATGGGCCCCCAAAACAGCATTTTGATCCACTGTTGCATATGGTGCTCTGGAAAGAGAATTTTAAGAAACTATTCCTCCAGAGCCTATGTTTTAGTGCGATCCTAGCTATTAATCTGCCTGCTTGCTGGTGTAATATTAGGGCCTCTCTGTCTCAAAGCCCTGTCCCCCATGTCCGCCTTCACAGAGCTTACTTTGTTTTTTTTTTTTTTTTTCAGTACCGGGGATTGAACTCAGGTCCTTGCGCTTGCCAGGCAAGTGCTTATTCTACTGAGCTATCTCTACGGCCACAGAGCTTACAGTCTAACAAGGAAGAAATAGACATGTTTGTAAATAAAATGTCAGATAGAGGTATGTACTCTGAGAAAATTAAGGCAGGGAATGGAGGGGCAGAAGCTCCTGTCTGGTTGGTGGGATCAGGGGAAGGTCTGTGTGGATGACATCTGAGGCAATGTGAACAAAGGGAGGAAGGGCCACATGAGCCCGGAACACAGCCTTACAGAAATAGGGAAACAGAAATCTCCAGGAGTAACACTGAGTAAGGCTAAAACAGACAGAGCCACGGGCCAGTGAGAGAGGTAACTCGTAGAAGGCAGAAGCCAGCAGCGAGAGGGTCTGCGGGTCATAGCAAGAAGTTAGGGTGCTTTGGAGCAGCGCAAGATCAGGTGTAAGTAATGTTTCATAAACTCACTCCAAGTCTCAATTCCAATCAGAGGCCACACTCTTAGTCCTTAATAATGCTTGGCCTTTGAAATATTTGAAGCACTTTGATTGGCAGTTTTAGGGACTGGGGAGATGGCTCAGTAGAATAAGTGCTTCCCTGGCAAGCACAGGGGCCTGAGCTGAATCCCCAGTTCTGCCAAAAAGCAAGAAAGAAAGATCAGTAGTTTTACTTGTGTGGAAAGGAGACCACAAGCCAGGTATGGAAGTGCATGCCTGTAATCTCAGCACTCACAAGGGTGAGTGAGGAGGATCCTGAGTTTGTGGCCGTCTTGGGCTACATAGCCGAACATCTTAAACCTGCAGAGCACAGCATATTTTTTTATCATAAAGGCACATAAATGTGAGTGGGTCAAACACATGTTTATTCTTCAGAGTATTTCTATTTTTTTTTTTTTAGTATTTCTATTCTTGAATTTTTAATTTTATGGTTATTGTATTAAATAATGTTTAACAGGAAAAAACTCACTAGTTAAATTCTGCATTTTTAATATTTGTTGAGTGTTTATTAAAAAGCATCAAAATTTTCAACATCATCTGGTTTTTTGGTGTACAAAGTCTAGAAAAGAACAACAAATTATTTCCTATATGATATGAACTATAATGAAGATATCAGGAGCACGCTACAAAAAGAAAATAATCTTTAATTATCACAGCTAAGGCAGTCTTCACACATGACAATAGCATGTTCCATGCACACCTGTTAGCACATACGTTTTGCACTCCCAGTCTTTGAAGGATATATCTGACATCTCACTGGTCTTGCTGCTTTGTCAGACAGTCCTTTCTATATTGTACAATGTGTAGTTGACAAGAGCACAAAATATCAATGAAGTAAAGTATTAAATTCTTAATATGCATTATGCAGAGCGCTTACGAGGCTGAGGCAAGAGAATCGCACAAGGTCGAGGCCAGCCTGGGCCACCAGTGAGTTCAAAGCCAGCTTCTATTACATAGGAAGACCCTGTCTCAAAAAAACAAACTAAAAAGCCCCCCAGGATAAATGTCAACACTTTCACATCAGCTATGTACAAAACCTAAGAAGTGAAATCAGACATAAAAACCTGGGTGAGCTGCAAGTACACACACACAAAAGTCAAGCACAGGAATAATGTTTGCCTCCAATGTCACACCCGATGCACCTCCACCTCCACACGGGATAACTGCATGTTACCTGGATGCCTGGATAACCACGCACACACCTTGCTTTCACAGGCAGCACATGTGCTTAGCTTTCCTACGTGGCAGGTTTTTCCTATCACCTCTTTTCCTGTTTTGTCAGGAGCTTACTACTATGTTGTACAGTGTGTGCTCAGAAGGAAATAAGATACCAGTAAAATAAAATATCAAATGTGTACTGAGTGGGCTGGGGAGGTAGTTCAGTGGTCTAAGTGCCTGCCTGGCAAGCACAAGGACCTGGGTTCAATCCCCTGTACCACATACTGTGCTGGCCCTGTGCTGACCACTGAAACCTGGCATGGTGGTGCACGACTGTAATCCCAGCACTGGGAAGGCTGAAATAGAAGGATCACTATGAGTCTGAGCTGGTTAGCGAGACCCTGTACCAAATAAATAAATAAATGATTTTTTAAAAATGTGTACTGTGTGCTTAGGATAGAGCTCAACATTTTCATTCTTTTTTCTTT